GTCGCCCTGTTCCTCTACTTCCGAGCGCAGGTGAGTGGCCGCCTCCGCTCTCACCTCGCGCCTCCCGCACCTGTAAGAAATCGAGTCCGGCCGCGGGGTCTCCAGATCCTGCGGACTCGGGAGGGGAAAGTGACTCCCAGGGAGGGGCATCGGGCTCGGGGACGGTCCAGCGCGCTCGTCCCTCCCGGGCGCACGCACCCCTGCCTGCTGCGCGCTGCGGCGCCGCTCCCTCGGCCAGAGGACGGTTTGAATCCCCCCTGCCCGGGAACAGCGTTGGCCGCTCACCTCTTCTGGAAGTGATCGCATACCTTCTACCTCCTGCCGTTTCTCACTTAAAGTTTAGAACCGATTTATATTCCCGTAGGAAAAAAGTGAGCGCTACCTTCCCTTGGGCGTCGACGGTTCTTTCCCTTCCCGCCCAGCAGCTGGGGGATTTGGTGTCTGGGCCTGGCTACTTTGCAGTTGTGTTTTTTTGTGTTTGGGGCCGTAGCGCTGGAGGGGTGCGTAGAGCGGAAGGTCGGTGTAAGCAGTCTCAAAGACCAGACGCCCAACGGGCAGGATGACATAGAACGACCAGAGGAGCCCGGTCTGGGGACAGGGGTTCTGTTGCTGCTGAATCGTCCTGTGAAGCTCTGGTGTCAGAACAGGGACGGCCCCACGTGCCTTCCACGGAGGTGGGCGGAGGAAGGAAGCGAGGTGTGTGTGGGGGGTGTGTGTGTGTGATGTTAGCACAGCCCTACTACTGTCTAGCAAAAAGCAAACTTTGGAAAAGACAAAGAGGTTTTGCAGGACGACTCAGAACTGCAGGGAGATAGTAGAAAGGAAGGGGTAAACTTGTAATATTATGCTTTCTGGTGGTTTATGCTCTTGTGTTTTCTTGGAAATTGCAGTGCAGTTGGTTGGATTCATTCAAATATTCTTGTCTGGTGCTGTGAACTCTTTCTCAGAGGAAGTGGGGGGCTGACTCTGCATTTTTTTTATGGGAAAAGAAAGTTGGGTTTGGACTTCATTCGTTGTCAGACTCAAAGGTGATTACTAACCCAAACTGGATGTATCAAAACCTGGCATTGCTCCGATCGTCTGGGCTTTTGACGCGAGCCAGCCAGGCCTTTTGTTAAGTGTTCATTATCCACTAGTTTGCACTTTATAGAGTTAGTATGGTTATTGACTTAAAAAGTAGAAGTGCTATGAGCAATACTTCAGAAAATTTGCATGCAAAAATAGTCTCTACCCATTGAAATTTTTTTTAAGAGACATCTTTTGAGTGGTTTACTTGCAACATAGATTACGCCAACCTATGGGAAAGTGACTACATGTTTTTGTTTCGTTAGATGGTGTGACAGTAAAAAATGAGGCTTATCCATTTTCCCACCCAGCATTTTGTTAATAATCCCATTTAATGCTTGTGCGTTGAGTGCGGGCATTGTGTATGGCACTATTAAATGCTATGGAATAGGAGTTTAGAATTATTTATCCAGCGCCCAGTGTCTACTGTACCTGGTGCCAACTAATGGAGGGGCCTCCAACCAGAGATTGCCCTTAAACAAGAGACCCGCATTCACAAAACGGACATGAGATGCAGTAGTAGTTCTCTGCTTTTTTCTCTTTCTAACACCTTGGAGATGTGGCATTTTCATTGTGGTAATAGCGAAGTGAATGTTCAGCATTTAAAGAGCAGTAGAGAAGGAAGAAGTTCTAGGAACTATGAACAGCTCAGCTTGGCCGGAGTCATGTAAATTGGCGGCATAGCCATGTAGGCAAGCGTGACCTGTAGGGCTCTTGTTACAGTTGTTCCGCTTTCCTGAGGAACTTTTCAATGGTCAGATGAGCTGAGAGGTTTGGTCTTCTGATGATTACCTGTCAATCATCATTTAGCACGTGGATAATAGTGAAACACTCAAAACCTTTCTGCAAAGCAAACATATGAGTTCTTAAGCCTCCCTAGAAAGTTTTTATTTGGAGAATTTAGTGTCATCAGACTTTTCATTACAATTTTCCTGAATACTATGAAAATTAGCTTTCTCCTAAGACTTGCACAGAATATTTTAGCCTTTATTCTTAACTCAATTTTGTACTGCATGTTTAAGAGGCATCTTCTTTAGTTAAAAAATATGTATCAGAAGCTAAGCATTCCTATGAATATACCACTAGAGCTGGTTACATTTTATCAGATATTATCCTTTGTTACCTGAAGGAACACTAATTATTCAGAGATACATTGTAAATCATTGTAAGTAAAATGCTTTGATGTCTGGAGTCTGTTTCAAAATAATTAATGGGGAGTGTAGGGTGTGGGGAAGTGGTAGATGAAACAAGATTTGCCAGACATTGATGATAGTTAAAGCTGGTGATGGGTGTATGGGAGTTCATTCTGCAGTTCTTTCTATTTTGATATGTGTTGGAGGCCTTCTTTCAGAAGTCTAGCTAGGAGAGTAGAATCCATTTGACCTGCCACTGATGTAACATTTTTACTTATGGTCAGTTCCTTTGGATTAGAACTTGGTACCGTAAGAAATAGCAGTTGTTGGATTTCCACTAAATTTATGGATCAGCTGCTTGGGATTTCTGAATGCACTTGAATGAGAATGAAATAAAATAGAATTAGGTAACATGTTTGTAGTTTATAGTTAAAAAATAACAAAAAAGCCATTTTATTATTTCTGTTTAAGGAAGAGGGAAAAAGGATGTAAATCCTCAAGAAAAAGCAGTTTAATTTGGTTTTAAATGCATTTAGAAGACTGCCCTACGTAGTGTAAAATTTACAGTGACTATTTAAAAACATTCTTTCCTTTTCAACTCATATGTTAAAAATGAATCGGCCTCTTGAATGTTTGCAGATTCCTTGTGCCTAGATTTTTCAAAAGAAAAAAAAAATGTACTAGACCCAGTGTAGATTGGCTTTTTCTCTACCACCCTGCCAAAGAAAAAACAGCATGTGGCTTGTGCTATATATTTACCACATAGTATTCATACTTTGGTTTACAAAGAAAAAAAAAAGCCTTTCAAAAAGTTGTTTGTAAAAATGTGTGTGTTTTTAACATTGGTATAACCATATTCAAAGTGTAGAGTTTAGCTGTAAGATAAGCTTTTCAGAAAACGCAAGATCTTTTGCCCTTTTAAGTTCTTCCCTCAATTCCCCAGTGTGCACCAACCAAACTCCCTGTCTGTTGGTTACCCACGACAGTAGTCACTGCTGAAAATCAGATGTGGAGGTGTGCAGGCTGCCTGTTTGACAAAACAGATAACAAAGCACAAATGTCAAGCATCCTGCTGCAGTTAACCCTACACATGATTAAGTTTCAAGGAAGTTTAAGGAAAAAAAAAAAGACTGAGTTTATCTCAGTGGCACGACATCATCTGATGAATGCCTTTTAAAATCACATATCCAAAATGTGTTTTCAGACATGCTGGGTACAATGAATTCATGCTATCACCCAGATCACTGTGATTTTTTGTGAATTTCCGTGTTCCTCGGTTGAATGTACACAGCACGAAGGCCCTGCCTTCTTTGCTCACTGCCTTACCTGTAGCATCTAGCCTGATGCCTAGAAGCTGAAATGTACTGAAAAGGCCTTTCACATGATTTGCAGCTCCACGACTATGTCTGTTTCTAATTTTTAATATGTAAATTATCTAAATAGTATCTAAAATAGCGTGACTCTTCAGTCATTCAAAGCCTCTAGCCAGATTGCTGTGTAGAAAATAGGTTAGGGAGGAGATACAATCATTCAGTCACTTGATGAGCATGTGTTGACCGTCCAGCATCAACCTGGCTCCCCGCTCTGCAGTTTCTTCAGCACACAGGCCGTAGCAGCTGAAGTCCTCATGTGCCAGTGTGTGTGGTTGACCTTGCAACCCCGCCAAACCTCTGCTCTTTCCTTTTCTGCTGGTCTCCATTTTCAGGAAAAATGGGCTGCAAGAATGAGAAAGATATTTGTTCATAGGTTAAAAATAAATTTCTAATATATGATCCTTAGGTAAAAAAAATAAATGAGCATATTAAAACTAATTATGTTATGCATTCTTAAATTCTCCTGGGAAAAACAACTGATAAGGTTTTTAGCCTTTGCCTTCTCAAACAGTGGTTCTCTACTGTGCATTTGCGTTTGAAGTGCTTGGGAGAGATTCAATAATTGGACCCTACCCTTAGAGATGTTGATCAAACCGGCTGGTGGGGAGTGTCAGGGTGGGGTGGGCATGCGATCTGCTCATGGGCATTTTTTTTAAGAGAAAAGGGATGAAAATTTCTGCATGTAGTTATTTGCATCAATTCATTAACCATCATTAACTGCTGCCGTAGTTTTCTGCTAATTGGCGTTACTTGTGAAAAAAATTTTTAATTGGTGTCCAGGGAAATTTGGAGAAATTTTAATAGCAGAAAATCTACATATTTGTATAGTTGATATTTTAGAGCATGATTTCTCAAACTTTAATGTGTCTGAGGACCACCTGGGACCTAGTTAAAATGCAGATTCTTAGACAGTGGGCCAGGGTGGATCTTGAGATTATAGATTTCTAACACGCTTGCAGTGAGCTCATGATGCTGCTGGTTAGACAGCGCTTTGAATTCCAAGAGTATAGGGGACCACCGCTTCTGTTAGACAGGTCTTGGCTTGCTGGCAGAACTCAAGCTTAACCAATTTTAGGGTCCCCAGGCATTTCCCCACTAAGGCCACATTGTTCCTTTAACTCAGCAGTTTTCTGGTGGCAAGCCAACTGAGGCCTCTGCATTTCTTTTCTTTGCTGAGGTCTGAACCCAGTGACCCTTCATATCAGTTGCCTGGGCTTTTCTGGTCTTGTGGGAAACTTATTGGCGTAAGTGAGGCTTAAAAAAAAATACGATTGAAAGTTTTCCTTAGATAAAACCCCACATATTCTGCCTTGGACTAGTTATTCTCACGAAAATATGAAACATAAATATGGATTGCCAATAGTTTAGCTTTGTGGTGGAACCTGTTCCCTGATTATTAATAATCCTTACATTTGCTAGATTGGAATATAATGTTTGTATCAGTGGGTGCATATTTGTTAAAAGGTTCTCATTGCATTTTGAGAATTTCAGCTAAATTGATAAATAGGCTGCTTCCTGGTTTATTTCCAATGGTTGGTTAATGAACCAGCACATCTTTCTGATTGCTTTTTAAAAGACCATTAGACCAAGGAAAGAGAGACTTGGTATTGATTTGGATTGAATTTTGGTTATTGCAAACTTAGGTAGTTTTCTTTTTTCCATCTAGACTGTACCTACTATTAAGCAAATGTACAGAGAGTACCTTGAATATTTGAGAAAAGAGGACAAGTTTAATTATTTTTATTAAAATAAATTGATAGCTAATTATAGCTACCTATTAACTTGGCAGCTGAAACAACTACAAAGTCAGAGCCCTGGGGAGAAAAGGCAATTTACAGAGTAGTGGATGCAGAAATGCTCACAGTGGACACGTGTTCTAACCAGGCAACCAGCTGCTAACTTGAAGGGGACATTTGGGGTGGGACAATATCTTACATTCCAAGAGTCTCAGCATCCCTATTTGACCTGCCTGTGCAGCCTGCCCCTCCCAATGCGACACCACATATGACCTGCACACATTCCCAAATGCCCTGACAGATGTACCATTCTCAGTTGAGAAACACTGTTGAGAGATTCAACAGAAAGAGAACCCATGCTTCTGTCTCCAGATCTTGTTTGGAGCTAAGAAATGGATTTCTGTCTCTCTTCTTTGGCTGATTAAAATATGCACTGATTAAGAGAAAAGGCCAGGCAAACATGGTGGTTAAAGGTGGTGCTAGTTTTGCCTGATTATTATATAGGTTTCGTGCTTTGAAATCACAAGTGTGCTTCATAATCCCATCAAGCAAGTTACTCATGACTTAAACACAAAACGTTGTCTCTACCTGCAGTGACCACAAGTGACTTTCTTGATGTCCTTCCCCTCTGTGAGGACTTTCATGGTGTCAACTTTGAGAATCCCGCCCCATGCACCTGACATGTATACTTCTGTTGTTAACCCACCACTGAACTAACTGTTAATTGCACTTACCCCCTATAAAAAGGGGGAAAATGTCAATGTTTCTGCCAACTGGAGAGTAATTGTATTAGCTACTGATCATCGGGGACACAAAAACTTGTAAGATGAGTTACAATAGAACGTCTGTAAGTTGACCATCCAAGGGACTGTAACAAACTAGTTAATGGTCAATATAAGAAACCTCCCTTGAGGACATGTGGTGCATGTCCAGTTTACAAAAATTTGGTCAACTTAAGAAAGTGGTCAATGTAGGGAGGTGGTCAACTAGGGAGGTTCTACTGTATTTGTTCTTAAGTCACACTTTTTTATTCTTATTTATTTATTTTTGAGATGGAGTCTTGAGATGGAGTCTAGAGTGCCATGGCCTCAGCCTAGCTCACAGCAACCTCAAACTACTGGGCTCAAGAGTATCCTCCTGCCTCAGCCCCCTGAGTGGCTGGGACTATAGGTGCCTGCCACAACGCCTGGCTAATTTTTCTATTCTTAGCAGAAACGGGGTCTCACTTTGCTCAGACTCTTCTTGAAGGGTGGGGTCTCACTGTGCCCAGACTCTTTGTGACCTCAAGCAATCCTCCTACCTCACACTCCCAGAGTGCTAGGATTACAGGCGTGAACCTCCACACTTGCCAAGTCACACTTTTTGAACTAGCAGAATGAGTAATGATAACCACTCTAATACTCTTACTTTCCCCTATCCCTCAGATGGATCCTAACAGAATATCAGAAGACGGCACTCACTGCATTTATAGAATTTTGAGACTCCATGAAAATGCAGATTTGAAAGATACAACTCTGGAGAGTCAAGACACAAAATTAATACCTGACTCTTGTAGGAGAATTAAACAAGCCTTTCAAGGAGCTGTGCAAAAGGTAAGTCCACCCTGTGGTTTATAAGTCAAGGGCCCTTGCTGACTCTACCAATAATGAAAATGCAAACTGGTTAAGTGCTGTTGATGCTGTTCTTTTTATTTTAATAATTTATAAAGGAGCTAAAGGGAATGTTTTAAAAAGATTCACAGAATTCTTTTGAAGGCAGTGATGGTTGATTATGGTGACCTGAGAAGTTCTTGCAAAGATTCTTTTTCTCCCCTTTCTTTTTTTTCTATTAAAGGAGATGGATTTAAATTCATACTTAAAAGGAGGACAAAAGATGGCTGTGGATAGTCTATGGGGTTGTTCGTTAGTTTGAATTTCCTGACCTGAAAGCCATGCCCTCATTTTATAGGACTTTCTGGGAGCTATTTTCTTTACATTGGTTTTGCAATGGTAGGATCCCTTATTCCACAACTGTTGCTCCAGGGCTCTGTTGAGAAGCAGTTGCAACTGTCCTTTGCTGTCACCTGTGGTCAGGAGGTAAGTAAGCAGAGCAGGAAATGATGTCGTGGGTCAGGTGGAAACTTTGTGTCTATTTTCTCATTTTCTGGGAGAGAAGGATGACAAGAGGGGGCAGAGAGGATACTTTTACCCTGACAACTCCAATTGAAAAACACTGTAATAACTGTGCCTAGTTTACTTTCCTGGGCAAAGCCATCTGACAAGTCTGCAGCCTTGGAATTATTTTACTTACTGACTCCACCAAAAACTGGGTAGACCCCGAAGAGTGACGCCAGGGCAAAAGCCCTGTGTGTACTGCACACCTGCTGCACACCTGCATCCACATCTACAAACATTCATGCATCTTCTCATACACCTGTACATCCCAACCT